CAATTTCATGTCAATGGTCCTTCGAAAATGTGAGGTCTCTTATAATGCATCTGTTGAATAATGTCAAATGGTGAAGGGTATCATATAGTCGGCCCCGTCCGACATTAATGGTTTTCTTACAGATTTTTTTACTGTCACTATGACGTACATACGATTAAAATATATGGTGTCAGTTTTTAAAAAAATATATTTGTTATTATAACAGAATATAGTAGATTTTTTAAAAATATTTTTTGAACTGCCGCCTTGCAAAGATATTTTAAGAATCTTATTTTTAAAATACCAGTATGGCGTATATTTTTTAAAAATATTTGTATCAAAGCGTAGATTTTTTACAAAATATTTTTATCAAAGCTTAGATTTTTTAAAAATATATTTTTTATATATAATGAAAGTATTTATAAAAATATTTAAACATTTTAATAAATATATTATATAGTTATAAAATATTCATTCTTATTATCTTATTACATAATTTGATAAATTCATCACTCAATATACATCTTATCATATTATGAAATTTAAAAACTCCACATTTCATTGTAACACACACATTTCCAGCGTTTAAAGCAAACAAAAGACTTAATGCACCAACTTCCTCACTTAGTGAAATTGAAAGTAATCGAAGATAATCAACTCCTCACACAATAACTCTCAAATAGCATTAGCCAACAAAACCAACACCACTACCCTCTGAATATTTCAAACAACAAACTAAACTATAACTTTACTAACAAACAAAAACTATAACATTACTGGAAAAATCAATTATTTGCCCTCTATCAAAAAAATATTTCATAACAACCGCAAAGGAACCCATTTTTTTCACAAACAATTTTCTTTTATTAACAATATTTTCATTGATAAAGAAAAAAGGCAATAGTCGTTGCAGACAAAAAAGTAGTGCCCTCAAAAAAAATTTTTTTTCAATAGAAAAAATACTTTGCGTGTTTAAAAACTGAACTCCTAATACACCAACCAAAAAAAATTGAAACGTTGATGATGAAGTTTAACGGAATTTCGCACAAAATTAGACCAATTTATTATCGGTGTTGTAACACCAACAACAAAGCCAGTATTATTGGCAAAATTATTAAACAATTTATTTGTATTATTTTTTAGTTGGGTGTTTGTTTAAAGTTTTTTTTTGCACGCAAACACACTGACATACAAATGATGATTGCATTGCATTATCATTAATAAGTTTTATTGTTGTTATTATTTATTTTGTGATTTTTGTTGTTTGTTTTTTGCGTACAATGTTTATTGTTTTATTGCCTATTGCATTGTTTTTAGAGGTCTAGGTAAAGTTTCTTGTTGTTTAGTTTTTATTATAACTGCAATTTGTGATTATTACCATTTTATTGGTAGGTTTTTTTTATTGCAACTCCCGTGATTAATGTTTGTTGAAATTTTGTGGGATGTAATGATTTCTGATTGAATTTATTATTTTGTATTTTTTTTACAAATTTACCATTGAATAGAAGACGTTGCAAAACAAAATCATGATAATCTGTCAAATCAATAGCTACTTAAATTGTTAAATCAATAATCAATTAATTATTTCTAGATAAACTAAAATTTTGCACAAATTGTGGTAATCATTTCGTGACATGACATTAATTTTTTTATTTATTTCTATTTGGGATTTTCTTTATTGAGATTACCTTGTTTATTTGAATTACAATGGCAGAAGCTACAACACGGATGTGGTTACAGAATTTATTAAACTAAAACTTAACACGTTTTATACAAATATTTTTGACATGCAATTGGAGCTACCGATATTTTTATAAAAATATTTATTTGTTACTACCATTTCTAAAAAATATAATTTTAAGCCATAAGAATGGTGTAGAATTAAAACCAATATTTATTGAGCTATGAACATGACATAACATAAAAAAAAACACTTTGGATATATTCAAGAGATTCACCCTAACAGACGTCGCATTCTTACAGAACCATTAACATGCAATTGGATGAATTAAAAGATTTCATCTTTATCTACATATGAATCGACTTAGACCAATCCATAAACATGTCATTCTGCAACCTATACCAAAGTTCTCATTTCGACAGATATTGAGTCGCTTGTTTAGAATGGGACAAAATAATAGAGCAAATCTCAATCGGGCTCCCGTTGATTATTTGGAGCTCTATTATCTTGAAGTCGGTCGAAACCGTATATATGCGCTATGTCTGCATTTCTGCAAAACGCAATTACGTCATTCTATGCTTAATTTTGTACGCTGTGTTAAATTTCGTGTCAATTTTAAAAATATGAGGAGTTTGGTGCACCATTTACTTAAAATCGGACGAAAATATATTTGAAAGCAATATCCAAATCTGAACCGATTTCAATGAAACTTGCCACAGGTTAGGTTATACTAATTTCAGCACGTTTTGTGCATATCGGTCATATTTTGGGTCCTTGGTGCATCATTTACTTAAAATCGGACGAAACTATATATGGGTGCTATATTTAAATCTGAACAAATTCCAACATGTTTTAACACATCTTATGCTATAGTAACTTTAGTATATTGTACAAAAATTGTGTGCCAATTCGCCAAATTTTGGGTCTTTAGTACACCCATTTACCGATTTTACATTAAATCAGACGAAAATGTATATGGGAGCTATATCTAAATCTGAACAGATGTTCATGAAACTTAGCACACATCATTATAGACTTAATTAAATAAGCTATGCCAAAATTCGTGTAAATCGAAAGATATATATGGGCTTTGGCTCACCATATACATTAAATCGGACGAAAATATATATGGGAACTATATCTAAATCTGAACCGATTTTCAGGAAACATAACACACATCAGTCTAAACCCAATTCAGTAAGCCGTGCCAAATTTCGTGCAAATCGAAAGATATATAGGGACTTTGCTACACCATTTACATTAAATCGGACGAAAATATATATGCGAGCTATATCTTAATCTGGACCGATTTTCAGGAAACTTAACACACATCATTCTAGACCTAATTCAGTAAGCCGTGCCAAATTTCGTGCAAATCGAAAGATTTATAAAGGCTTTGGTGCTCCATTAACCTAAAATCGGACGAAAATATATATGGGAGCTATATCTAAATCTGAGCAGATGTTCACGAAACTTAGCACACATCATTATAGACTTAATTCAATAAGCTATATCTAAATTTGACCCGATTATCTCGAAACTTGACACACGTAATTGTAAACTAAATTCAATACACTATTCAAAATTTCTTACAAATCGAAAGATATATAGGGACTTTGGTGCACCATTTACATAAAATCGAACTCAAATATATGGGAGGTATATCTATATCCGAACCGATTTTCACAAAACTTAGCACACATCATTCTGAACCTAATTCAGTACCATATGCCAATTTTTGTGGAAATTGAAAGATATATATGAACTTTGGTGCACCATTTACCTTAAATCGGACGAAAATATATATGGGAGCTATATAGAAGTCTGAACCGATTTTCACGAAACTCACGCTGTGCCAAATTTCGTTCAAATCGAACGATATATGCCATTTTAAAGGTAACTTCATAATGACTCTCTTATACAAGTCCTGCCCTCTATTTGCAAAAAATAGTAGAGATCTGAATTTAGCGTTTGACCATATGGAACTTCCCTTCCCTCATAATAATAATCCTTCCTGACCGTTAGTCCTGGTTTGGCCACCGTTTGAGGTGCTTCGCGGCTCTTTGACCACGATCATTTTCGCATAGGGTTATTGTATGTGATCCATTTCTCATCTCCAGTCACCATCCGTTTAAGAAATGGAAATTCGATCCATCTTATTTTTTTCTGTTAATTGGTGTGGCAACCAAACACCAAGCTTCTAATATGCCGATCAACTTCGATGATTTCTCCGATTTTATCGACAACCGGCCTAATGGATTTCCTTTTCCACAACCTAATATTTGTCAACGGATTTTTCCATTTTGGAAATTTCCACTAATCGAAATTATAACATCCCCTTCCTGCTTATACTGCTGTTTTACTTACATTACACGAAAACGACAATCCTTCCTGCAAATAACTCAATATTGAAACTAAATGCAAATTGTCATTTCAAGTCATAAAAGAAAAACAAAACTAATCTAAGACAGCAGCACTCTACCAAATCGAATCATTTCTCCAAAAAAAATGTTATGGCATAATTTTTGATAAACTTGTTTCACATTTCATTTGGATTTCCGTTTACGGAAATTATAGATATATGTATATGTGGCAATGTGTTGTTTGCCACCAAGAAGAAATTATAATGGAAATTATGTTGTTTGTAAAACAAACAACAAACAAATTGATTATTAAAATGTACTGTAGAAATGAAGGAAATAAGTCAATTAAAATCAAAAGATTTAAGACACAAGCGAACCTAATGTTTTTAAGAGGACACTTTACTTTATGTGCAATTTTCAGAAGCTGTACATTTTTAAATGTAAGTCTTAGTTCTATTGCTGGATTTTTAAGTCCACGCCAGTGGCCCTCCTTAAAAAAAATATTTTTTAAAAATCCGCGCCAATGGCCCTCCTTTAAAAATTTTTATTGAAAACTCAAAGCCAATGGCTCTTCTTGCAAAAAAAAATTATTTAAAAATTCACGCCAATGACCCTCCTTGTAAAAATATTATTTAAAAATCCAAACCTATGGGACCATGAAAAAAATATTTTTAAAAAAAATACACTAGTATGGCTCCTTGAAGTAATATTTAAAAAAAAACACGTCTAAGAATCTAGTGGTCCTCAAAAAAATATTTTTTAAAAATCGAAGCCTTTGGCTGACCCTGATACAATTAAATATTATATTGCTTATATACTTTGTACCCACATTTCAATAATTTAATGTCAATCTTTTTCATTACAGCAGCCGTTCGGTGTTAACCTCAAAAATCTACAAATACAAACACAACAACTACACACTTGACAGAGTTTGATAATTGTAAACGAAAGCTTTTGTGACCGCGACCAGTGTAAACATGTCCAGCAATTCGTGTGATTGTCTGGTGGGGGTGCCCACCGGACCTACATTGGCCGCAACTTGTGGTGGCAGTGCTTTTATGTTATTTATGGGCTTGTTGGAGGTCTTTGTGCGGTCACAGTGTGATCTTGAGGATCCTTGTGGTCGTGCCAGTTCAAGGGTAAGTAATCAAAAAGAGATTAAGTCACGCAAAAACGAAAAGATATTGTAATAGAGTTGAGATATTATTCTCCTCCAAAATTACCTCCTAATTATATAATCCAAAAAATTATATTTAATTTTCCTATCCTCTTCATTATAGTTTCGTTCCGAACCCGATTATGAATATGATTTTGTTGTGATTGGTGGCGGCTCGGCCGGTTCTGTGGTTGCCTCACGTCTATCCGAAGTAGCTCAATGGAAGGTGCTGTTAATTGAAGCCGGTAAGTGCACTTTTTCTTTGTGTATTTCCCCGTTTTTCTTTTTTTGCCGCTGTTCGCACGCATTGGGTATTTTCCGAATATGACACTAATGATGGCCAGACACATACATTGCAGACAAGACAGGTTTTTTGTTGCTACTGTTATCCGATTTTTTTTTTGTACAAATTTATGTGTTACCACATAAAAACATACGAATTGCAACAAAACAAAGAAATGCACAAACAATCTAACATACCAGAGGTACATTCTCTAACGCATTCAAACAGTGGTTCCAATGATCATTGGATTGGCTCCGGAATGGAGGCATAGATTTAAAAAAAATGTTTTTTCAAGGTCCAATAGAGTTGTGGATTTTTATAACCTACACAACTATGTTGTCAGGGTATTATAGCTTTGTGCAGCCCCAAGAGAAATATTGGTCCTAGACCCACCATTAAGCATACCGATCATCATATCTCAACTAGCTGAGTCGATCTAGACAAGTGTGTCCGTCCGTCTGTACATTATAATTTGTAAACACGATACAGGCCACAGTTATGGACCAATCTTCACGAAATTTTGCATGTAGGATGAGTTCTGGCCAATGAAGAACCCTATTGTTTTTGGTAAAGATCGGTTAATATTTAGGGGACGAAATGGTCCAACAACTTTATTTTTGTCTGATTTTCTGGTCGCTCCATAGGCCGCTTATGGCCCAACCATCGCGAAATTTTAGATGGAGAAGGGGATCGTGCCAAAGAATAAGCATGCCTGTTTTGATAAAGATATTTAGCGGGTCAAATGGACCCTAATGGAAAATAATAAAATTTTTATTCTACGACGTATATATTGTGGGAGTTACACTTAAATATTTACAGATCGCTCTGAATTTTTCCATGAGATTTCAGTTGTGGTCAAGGTCCGAAGTGAACCGAAAACTTTATTCTTTTGTGTTTTTTTTTCGAGTCGATCTATAGGCCACACTTATAAGCCGAACATCACAACACAACTCACGGTGAATGGAATCTGGACAAGTAATTAAAAGGGTTGTACTGAATATTAGTAATATTCGGAATATATGTCAGTATAAGGAAGAGTTGCTGTTAACCTCTACTCAGGTAAGAGGGTGCATATATAACGAAATATTGCCCAGGCTCGGAATAAACATCAGCAGAAAGTTAGATTTCCGTGGTAGCTGTGAAGGGTATCGTATGGTCGGCCACGTCCGACTATACTGCTCCGCTCACTGGTTAATAATATTTTTTTTCTAGAAGCAATAGAAGCATGAATTTTTAAATAACATTTTTTGATGGGCCAATAGAGATGTAAATTTTTAAAAAAAAAATTTTAAGGACCAATAAAGGCGAGAATTTTTAACAAATAGAGGCGTGGATTTTTAAATATCCTTTTTTAAGGAAATTTTTTAATGAATTGAGGCGTGGATATCCTTTCCTAAGGACCAATAGAGACGCGGATTTTTAAATAATATTTTTTCAAGGACCAATAGAGACGCTGATTTTTAAATAATATTTTTTCAAGGACCAATAGAGACGCGGATTTTTAAATAATATTTTTTCAAGGGCCAATAAAGGCGTGGATTTTTAAATATTATTTTTCAAAGGACCAATAGAGGAGTGGAGTTTTAAATAACATTTCTTAAAGGGCCAATAAGACGTGGATTTTTTAAATAAAATTTTTCGAGGTATCCATATGGCTTGAATTTTTAAATAATATTTTTTAAGGCACCCATAAGGCTTAGATTTTTAAAAATTCTCCTCTCAATACACCACAGTTCCTCTAATATAAATAAAATAAGAATTCTGCGAACATAACAAACCATTTGTTAGAGCAAAACAAAGATGAAGAAAAAAATCAACGTGAAATAAAATCCGCACAACATACTGCCCATATGGTCAGGTGATCCGAACAAGTGTCACGTTATTTTTGTCACTGAATGTATTGAGCTAAGCTTAGCCAAAACTAAATGTGAACACAATTTGTCGGCTTATGGGATGCAGAAGAAACAAAACCTGCCTATCACTTAACGGCTACGTAGATTGATGTCTAACTGGCTGGTTAGCTGACTGACAGGCAGATCAGCTCACGACTGACTTGCCTCCATAGCTAGCTGAAAAATTGTAGCTTATGATGTGTTTTTCTTTTCCTCTCGCCTTTTATTAAATATAGAAATATCACATTTTAAATGACATTATCGTTCGGCATCAAACGGTGTAAAATGTCAACTATTCATCCGAAGAAGAAGAAAACAATTTAAGCTCATCTTGCGGACAATAATCAAGAAGATGTTGCAGTTTTTTTTTATTATTTTTCAAGACCATGTAAGGTATTCGTTAGAGTGGAGGAATTATTTTTTTGTGTTTCTTCTTGTAAATAATCATTTGAAATAATATTTAATTGATCAACTTCTGCAACAATTTAAGAAAACTAGAAAACGCAACTGAACAAAAAAACCAATTACACCATCCGACAAATAGAGAAAGTAGAAGTGTTACAGCATTGCACCAGTAATCAGATTTAATAATGCCAAAGTGTTGCAATTTAATAATAATTTACATGGATTTCAACACGCATCTGATAGCTTGGGTAAACAAACACCTTTCTTAATATTTCAGTATGGTTGCAGCTAGACATTCACTTTTTCAAAATCGGGAATTTATTTTGCAAGCATTTGTTGATAGACCTTTTAATAAAATAAAAAAAAAATCTTAAAAAACGACTCTTCATTCTTGTCTCAATTTGGTAAATTAAATCGAACGAAAAATATATGGGAGTAGATATAGCTCCTAACCCGATTTTCACCACTTTAAGAAGGATTCATCTTAAGATAAAAAATGAGCCATGCGTGGCTTTTAAAAATATTGTTTCAAGGAATTTTTAAATATCCTTTTTCAAGGAGCAATACAGGACAAATAGAGGCGTGGAGTTTGAAGGACCAATAGAGGCGTGAATTTTTAAATAATTTTTTTTTTTTTGCAAACGAATAGAGCCATAGGCGTGGATTTTTAAATAATTTTTTTTGCGAACGAATAGAGCCATAGGTGTGGATTTTTAAAAAATATTTTTTAGCGAACGAATAGAGCCATATGCGTGGATTTTTAAATAATATTTTTTAGCGAACGAATAGAGCCATAGGCGTGGATTTTTAAATAATATTTTTTAGCGAACGAATAGAGCCATATGCGTGGATTTTTAAATAATATTTTTTAGCGAACGAATAGAGCCATATGCGTGGATTTTTAAATAATATTTTTTTTAGCGAACGAATAGAGCCATAGGCCTCAAATAATATTTTTTAGCGAACGAATAGAGCCATAGGCCTCAAATAATATTTTTTAGCAAACGAATAGAGCCATAGGCCTCAAATAATATGTTTTAGCTAACGAATAGAGCCATAGGCCTCAAATAATATTTTTTAAGGACTCCGAAATGCCAATTGCATTTGGAAAGTGCGAAAAAATTTCAAAATACCTAAAAGAAGAGAACAAGTTTCCCACCTTTTAAGAGTATTGAATAGCAGATTAAAGCCAATTCTGTGGGGAAATGTTGCTAAAAACTAAAAAAAAAACTAAAAATGGTTCGGGACCTTTATAAGGGGGTAATGTCAGAATATTCTTTAAAAAATCCACGCCTAGAGACCTGTTCGTGCTTTCCAAAAATATAATTTAAAAAAATCCACGCTTAGAGACCTGTTCGTGCTTTCCAAAAATATAATTTAAAAAAATCCACGCTTAGAGACCTGTTCGTGCTTTCCAAAAATATAATTTAAAAAAATCCACGCTTAGAGACCTGTTCGGGCTTACCAAATTATTCTTTAAAAAATCCACGTTTAGAGACCTGTTCGGGCTTACCATATTATTCTTTAAAAAATCCACGCTTAGAGACCTCTTCGGGCTTACCAAATTATTCTTTAAAAAATCCACGCTTAAAGACCTGTTCGGGTTTACCAAATTATTCTTTAAAAAATCCACGCTTAAAGACCTGTTCGGGTTTACCAAATTATTATTTACAAAATCCACGCTTAAGGTCCCGAAAGGAGCATACCAAAATATTCTTTAAAAAATCCACGCTTAAGGTGCTGTAAGGGCTTACCTAAATATTCTTTAAAAATCCACACTTAGAGACTTGTTCGTGCTTTCCATAATATTCTTTAAAACATCCACACTTAGTGACTTGTTCGGGCTTACAAAAAATTCACGCTTTGAGAACTGTTTGAACTTAGTAAAAGTTTCTTTATGAAAAAACATGCTTACCCAAAAAACATTAAGCAATTCAGAATTAGATGCATCGAAAACTTTTATGGAATGCCAAAATATTCTCAAGAAAAAACACCCAGTTAAAGACATGTTAATGCTTGCCAAAATATTTGTCTAATTCACCTATAGAAATATATATATATATATATATCTTACAGACCAGCCTTGGTTGACCTAGATATTCCTTAAGTAATCTACACTTAGAAAATTGTGGTACAGTCGACTCCGCTTTACTGAAAAATATGTGATAAGTGAAATTTATTTCCTGCACCATTAATCGCTCACAATTTACTCCGCATAAGTGAAACTTCGCATAACTGAAAATATCGGATAACTGAAATATCCTTTGGATTCAAATATTCCAATTTCCTTTCAAATCACCCCGTATTACTGAAAATTGTAAGAATGCATTATCCTTCATTCTCACAGAATATTTTGCATTGAGGAATACACATCTTCAAAGCCCACCCTAACAGATATTTTTCTGCAATTAATTATTTTTCGACGCATGGAATGTGTGTATCATGTATATATAAATTTGACGTCGAAGAACGTTAAGTTCGTTCGGCCAAACTTTTAAAATCATTTCAATAAAGCGGAGTTGGCTGTAGCTGCCACAATATTATTTAAAAGAGACCTATTTTGGTTGTGTTGAATATTTAAAAAAAATCCGCCCTTAGAGACTTTGCAAAAAATATTATCTTAGAAAATCCCCGCCTACAATTTTATTAAAATAATTTATCATTT